TGGAAGGAAACTGCCTTCCAGAAAGTGACAATCCTTGGAACTGGGAAGGATGGGAACCCTCAGGCCATTTTTTCTAAGGGGGGTCTTGATTAGCTCCATAAAGTCAACCTTAGTTCCTTAAAACTACCTGGTTAGGCCGGGTGCGTTGGCTCAAGCCCGTAATCCCAGCACTTTGGGAGGCTGAGGTGGGTGGATCACGAGGTCAAGAGATCGAGACCATCCTGGTCAACATGGAGAAACCCTGTCTCTACTAAAAATACAAAAATTAGCTGGGTATGGTGGCACACGCCTGTAGTCCCAGCTACTCGGGAGGCTGAGGCAGGAGAATTGCTTGAACCCAGGAGGCAGAGGTTGCGGTGAGCTGAGATCGAGCCATTGCACTCCAGCCTGGGTAACAAGAGTGAAACTCCGTCTCAAAAAACAAACAAACAAACAAACAAACAAACAAACAAACAACAACTACCTGGTCATATCTGAAATATGACATTATGGTCAAAGCCTTGCCAATACAACCAGGGTTTCCAATTGTGTCCTGCTACAAGGAAAGCACAATCTAATTGAACTTAGGCAAATAACTATATTACCATAAAGATAAGAATACTCACAAATAGCTTCTAAATTCTGGAGGGATAAGGTAGGGAGAAAAGGTAAAAGCCTACATTTTTGTTCATAAAAATACCCTTTACCAAGTTGATGTAAGCTATAGGTAGCTTAAAAGAACAAAGTTTTTTTTTGGCCGGGAGTGGTGGGTCACATCTGTAATCCCAGCACTTTGGGAGGCCAAGGCAGGTGGATCACTTGAGATCAGAAGTTCAAGACCAGCCTGGACAACATGGTGAAACCCCGTCTCTCCTAAAAATACAAAAATTAGTCGGTGTGGTGGTGCTCGCCTGTAGTACCGCTACTCGGGAGGCTGAGGCAGGAGAATCGCTTGAACCCAGGAAGTGGAGGTTGCAGTGAGCTGAGATGGGGCCACTGCACTCCAATCTGGGTGACAAAGCGAAAGTCCATCTCAAAAAAAAAAAAGGCAGCACAAGCACAATAAATTATCTTTATAAAGCACAGAATCTCTTTCCTAGGCCAATTACTTTAAAAGGTGAAAAAAACCCTTCACATTCCCAGATCAATACTTCAAAATAACTACCATTTCAACAGAGAAGAGTAAATTCCACTTCTGCTTCAGTGTACCATCAATACTAAAGCTAGTTTTAAAAATCTGAAACAAACCCATCTAATCTCAGTCAGCTTTGACCACACAAGATTTTTGCAAACCTTATTATAACTTCTAAAAAATATTCATTGGTTTTTCTTTTTTCTCTTTTTTGGACAAAAATTCATTCTTCATAACTTTCCTTATCAAATACATTCTTTATTTCCTTGCATGCAGAGCTGTTTCCCTTGTAACCGTCTTAATTCTGTTTATTTATTGTAATTTGTATTTCATAGTAACCAATTTCTAGGGAAAACTACCAAGCATTGTGAATTATCTTATATCAGCAGTCACCATTTCATAACATCTAGAAAGATGCTTCTTCAATTTTTCATGTATCTTAACAGAAATAAATATATTTAGTTTTTGCCATATAAAAACAAGTTGCCAAAGTATATAAACTTAAACTATGCTTATTTATTAATATTTGGTGTTTTAACTTAGAAATTATTCAGCCATTTAACACATATCTATTACTTAATTTCACTTGAAGGTTTCAAGTTACCAAAACTATTTTTGAAACTATTTTAAAATAGACATATATTATTATAAGACATATATTATAGGCTGGGGCATGATGGCTTATGCCTGTAATCCCAGCACTTTGGGGGGCTGAGGCAGGAAGATCACTTGAGCCCAGGTTCGAGACTAGCCTGGGTGACACAGTAAGACCCCATCTCCAAAAAAAAATTAAAAATTAGCCAGGCATGATGGGGCATGCCTCTAGTCTCAGCTAGGCAGGAGACTGCGGCAGGAGGATTACTTGAGCCCAGGAACTCAAAGGTTGCAGTGAGCTATAGCTATGATCAGGCTACTGCCCTTCAGCCTGGGTGACAATGTGAGAACCCTGTCTCAAAAAAAAAAAAAAAAAAAAAAAAAAAATATATATATATATATTCAATTCACTTATTCTTAACAATTATTCTTGAATTGGTCATGAACATTTCATGATATTAAACAAAGCTAGCCACTATTTTTCTTGTTGTTCAACAAGTATTTTTCTTGTTGACATATTGCATTAGCACCAAAAATATCACAAAAGCAAAAAAACTAAAAAGCTAAGTATGGTTCTTCCATGTCCTTGTTTTCTTCCGATGACAGTCATCTTCCTGAAGACTGTATTTTCAAAAGATAACTACCACATTTTAGAAAAGACAGGTGGGAAATTTACACCTCAAGGGCACAGGGAAAGCCCTTATCAGCGGTCAATCTCACAGAGGCTGTGGACTAGATTTTAGGCTGGTGGCTGAGCAGACATCTAGTGGCTGTCTGAATGTTTCCAAAGAGCCATGTGAATGAACAAGACAGTCATTTCTGATAAAACTAGATCTGTTACATGTCCCTCTAATTTCCGTCTAGAAACTCTAGTTCACTACAGAATTTTCCAAGTCCACAGAGGAGCCCAGAAGGTCCTGAATCCTAAGAAGAGTTTGGCCACAGAGACCAGAATCCTTACCTTACCTCTGATGTTTCCTTCTAGTAATTTTCTTTTCTTTCTTATCTTTTATGGTGAAAAGATCCATATATATTTAGAATTCGCCAGCTGGACTCAGTTTAGATGATACAGTTTTGTTGGCAACGTCCAAAGCATCGTAATCAGGAGCCACTGGAACACCCGCCTTCTTCCCTCCATCAGGCCGAATCAGGGTGTCGACCTTGGCCACGTGAGTGTCACAGAGCGTCTCCACAGCCTGTTTGGGCTGGTGCTTGTTGGCTTTAACATCCACAGTGAACTCAAGTGTGTTACTGTCTTCTGTCTTCTTCACGCGGACTCAGTGGTCAGCGGAAGCTTGATGACAGCATCGTGGTCAAGCTTGTTTCTCCTGGGGGCGCTCTTCGCAGGATATTTGGGCTGCCTCCAGAGTCGCAGTGTCTTGGGCCGCCAGAAGGTGGGTGACGTGCGGATCTTTTTTTTGTGGCTGTGGCCACCTCTCAACACTGCCTTCCTGGCCTTTGAAGCCTTCACTTGGGCTTCGGGTTTACCAGAGTCGGGAGCTTCCTTATTCGCTTTCGGCGCCATCTTGTGAAAAGGCTCCTTCTAGTAATTTTCCACCCACCGACCACCGCGGGGAGGCGGGGCTCAAAGCAGAACGTATTTAAAGGTGCAAGCGCACTGCATAGATCAAAGTGGACAAAGGAGGGAGGGAGAGCGGAAGCCAAGGAAAGGAGACGTCTTCCAGGAGCCAGTTTGGGGCGATCGCACATTTCCCGCAACGGCCAGTGAAGCTCCATGAGATCCTCGGCAAAAATTATGCCAACAAGAAAGGAGGCGGCCAGAGGGCCCGAGCATGTCATTACCAGTGGTTCGAGAAGAGAGTGTCCGTCAACGGAGAAGTTCCCGTGGGAGAAGCAGGATCCCAGAGAGAGAGCAAGAGCATAGAGGCCTGAAAAAACATACAGCGTCAATGTCATCTTTCCAATCAAGCCGACGTCTGACCACAGAGCTCTTAAAAAAAAAATATCCTGGCGGGGCGCGGTGGTTCACGCCTGCAATCCCAGCACTTTGGGAGGCCAAGGCGGGCAGATCACCTGAGGTCAGGAGTTTGAGACCAGCCTCACCAATTTGATGAAACGCGGTATCTACTAAAAATACCAAAAAAAATATCCAGGCGTGGTGGCACACGCCTGTAATCCCAGCTACTCGGGAGGCTGAGGCAGGAGAATCGCTTGAACCCGGGAAGTGGAGGTTGCAGTGAGCCGAGACCGTGCCTTTGCACTCCAGCCTGGGCAACAAGAGCGAAACTCCATCTCAAAAAAAAAAAAAAGAAAATCCTTTCAAATAACGCACTATCAGATTTTAGCCAGGACAAACAGCAAATACTCCTGGCAGTATTGTACTTTTTCTACTTTTTAAAAAAGAAAGACAACCAAAGGTATCTGCCAAGTGACTTGGAATCAAAACCAATAAGCCTTTTATGACTTAACCAAGGATGTGTGGTGTGTCTCTAAAGAAGCACAAAGACACAGCCCTCTTAAGACCCAGCCCTCCCAAAGACAGCCAGAAGAGGGGGAGACACAGGTGACTGAGAGCCGGCAGCAGGTGGCACCCCGAGCCACACACGCGTCCCACCTATGCTTTTGTCCAGCTCTCTTCTTGGTGTTTGTGTAAAACAAAGACTGTCTCTGGGAGGGAAGGGATCATAAAACCAGAGTTCTCCTGCCAAGAAAAAATCACCAGAGTCACAATCCACAAGAACTAGTTCATACAAATGATTTTCTCCTGCTAATCTAAATTTGCAAAGGAAGGAATAAAGAGAAATTTTTACCTTCCATTCTCAACCAGGCACTGCAGGCAGAGATCTGAGAGAGCTGCCCTTGGTTAAAAAAAAACAAGTCTTAGATTTTCCTCGCCAGGCTTTGTCAGTTGTCCCAGGATGACGTTTGCAGGCTCTGCCACCACCAGGTGTCTCAGCCGCCCCACAGTTGATGCCAGAAACTGCAGGGATGGAAAAGTGTGATCCCTTTCTCCTCAATATAAGGGTCACAGCCGACACTGCGTAACAAGTTCATTCTGTATTTATTTATTTAAGACGGAGTTTCACTCTTGTTACCCAGGCTGGAGTGCAATGGTGCGATCTCGGCTCACTGCAACCTCCGCCTCCCGCGTTCAGGCAATTCTCCTGCCTCAGCCTCCTGAGTAGCTGGGATTACAGGCACACGCCACCATGCCCAGCTAATTTTTTGTATTTTTAGTAGAGACGGGGTTTCACCATGTTGACCAGGATGGTCTCGATCTCTTGACCTCGTGATCCACCCGCCTCGGCCTCCCAAAGTGCTGGGATTACAGGCGTGAGCCACCGCGCCCAGCCTTATTTATTTTTTAAAGTAGAGATGGGGTTTCACCCATGTTGCCCAGGCTGGTCTTGAATTCCTGGGTTCAAGGGATCCACCTGCCTCGGCCTCCCAAAGTGCTGGGATTACAGGTGCCAGCCACAGTGCCCAGCCACAAGTTTATGTAATCAAAGTTTAATGAGACACGGAGCCTTCAGCAATAAAGATCTAAGACGCAGGGAACACTGAAAAGTGAACAGCCATGCAGAAATGGGAGCGGATGATGGGTGTGGTCAAACGATGAGAGGTCTGTAGGGAACCCAGCAGGGCCTGTCTGGCCTCCAGATCCTTCTCGGCCTCACTGCACCATTCCTTCCTCCTGGGTGTGGGGCAGGACTTCTCCAGAAATGAGGGCCTTTGAGAGAGAAGGGAGAGTGATCTTTCAGGTTTGATGGCTTGCTCTTTGGGAGAGGAGCTCTACTTTCTATGACCGCCTTGAGGAAGAGGAATTCTGGTTTCTATGGCCTGTCTGGGGTGATGGGGGCGGGTGTCAGGTGTCAAGAAGGCAGAAGGTCCCAGAGACGTTGCTTCTGAGGCTGCTTCCAAGGTCTTCCAATCTGCTTTAGCTCACCGTTCTCAGCCTGCCGAAGCACCACACTTTGGCACATTGTTTTCTGAGCCCCAACACCAATATGATTTAGGATTTACACTAGGGTTTGAAGTCGTATGCCTCCAGTTTGGTGAGAAGGGAGCCCTGCTCTCTGTGGAGTTTTTGGGTCTGGGGACTATTTCTCCCTGACATCCTGAGCCACAGGGAGACACGGGGGCTGAAATGTACTTCTGGGATTCTTAGGAGACTTTGTTGGCAATTCAGAGGCCTCACCCACCAAGCCAAATGCCAGTCTTAGGTGGGGCACCCTAGGAGTGCATTCTCCTTCTCTAGTCTCTTGTTCTTCCAGGCAGAAAGCTGTGAATTTGCTGTCTCTGGAGGGCCGTGGGTTCTGGGATAGATGATGGGAGAAAGAGAAGGATAAAAATGTCCTGCCTTCAAACTGGCCTCCAGGTCAAAATCGCCGCATACCATAAGCAGGTGAGTAGCTCAGCAAGTCAGTTCTTTGGGATAACCGAGCAAATATCAAAGCCATCCCACTCTCAGGAAACACTATTTGAAAGGGTTTTTTGCAAAGAAAACAAGGGCTGCAGTACATTACATACACAAAGTGCATCTCTGGGGAGTGTTCTATTTGGGCTGGACAGGAACCTAGAAGGTCCTTCTCTCTTGCGGGAAACCCACGCTGCCGTCGTCACTGCGGATGCACACTAGTCCGTATTTTCTGTACATCTGTAACATGGTCAGGCTATTCTTTATTCTATTCTATTATTATTATTATTGTAGTTGTTGTTTTGAGACAGAGTTTTGCTCTTGTCACCCAGGCTGGAGTACAAGGGCGTCATCTTGGCTCCTTCAACCTCCACCTCCTGGGTTCCAGCAATTCTCCTGCCTCAGCCTCCCAAGTAGCTGGAATTACAGGCACCTGCCACCATGCCAAACTGATTTTTCTATTTTTATTAGAGACAGGGTTTCATCATGTTGGCCAGGCTGGTCTTGAATTTCTGACCTCAGGTGATCCATCCACCTCAGTCTCCCAAAGTGCTGGTATTACAGGTGTGACGCACCATGCTGGCCTATTCTTTATTTTAATTTCCATTTTATGCTCATATAATATTTTCATTAAGACGGAATTATAGGGTAGTTCCAGCTATGGGCTACAGTTTAAAAATAACTTTAGCACCAACTGTTCATGTCAGCATTTTTAATGGTACAAAAAAGGAATATAAATGTATTTATTACCACAGAACTTCACACTTAAAAATGGTAAAGATGGTAAATTATATATGTATATTTTACCTTGATAAAAACATAAATAAGGAAAAAATGGTATGGACAATTTAAGTCAACAGATAGGAAAGCAAGCCCAAAAGTATTTCCAGATTCTGATTATAGTGAATACATTATTAATATTCTAAAAACACCATGAATTTAAAGCACATTTCTGTATCTGCAATGGAGGGAAATACAGTAAAATGTGCAGTGTTAATTTCCGTGAAACTTTGCCTAGGTGCTCTAGTGCCCTCTTCTGGATATGTTGGAGTACTGCAGCTCAGACAGAACTTTATGGAACCCAACCCCTTTGGCATTCTGGTGAAGCCAGCGGACCTCTTCCCGGAATAATGTTTTAAAATGCGTAAGATAAAGAAAATAATAAGGAAAATCATTATATTGAAATAAGGTTATGACAATATCAAAATATTTTAAAACCAAATTTATAAGTTATTTATTACCTCATTAAATATAAGATGTAGCGTTGGGTCTAATAACTACTATAATTTCAAAGTAGTGACGAGCTTAAACATTTGCAAATGTCTGCAGCAACTATAATCTTGCATGAAAATATCTGTGATTTCTATTGGTGACAAACATACACAGTGTGTCTAGGGGTTCCCTAGGGCTGCCATAGAAAGTTCCACAAACTGGGTGGCTTAAAATAATGGAAGTGTATGGTCTAACCGTCCTGAAGGCTGGAAGTCTAAGTGCCACGTGTCAGCAGGACCGTGCGCCCTCCCCAGCCTCCAGAGGAGGAGTTTTCCTTGCCTCTCCCAGCTTGTGGTGGCCCCAGGCATTCCTTGGCTTGTGGCTGCACCCCTCCAATCTCTGCCTGTCTTTCTATGGCCATTTTCTCTCCATGTCTGTGTGTATCTCTCTCTTCTTATAAGGGCACCACCAGTAATAGCATATAAATAAACAAAAATTGTAATATAATAATTCAGGACACCCCACATTGTATCCGTGGAACATGGATTAAGATCCTCTAGAAGTTATTTTAAGTTAATAATATTTATCATGTTCATACCCTGTTCCCAGGAGAATCTTAAGGGATGTGAAGACATGGAAGATGGACTTCCTTCCTTGGTAGGAGTTTTCTGTCTAAGTGGGATGAGATGTATACACACAAAACAACCGAGAACACTACCCAGCAGCATGAGACTTTGCGGCACGAATTTCAGTGTTTCATCCCTCCAGAGGCCCAGAGAATCGAGATGCTTGTGGATGGGAGCAGCGGGGTGCGTTTTGTGAAGGCTGGGGGACTTGGTTTGGGTTTAGGAAGCTGGGAGGATGGGACCCATCAGGAATGTCAGGTGGTGGAAACAGCATGAGCCAAAATATTAATAAAATCTCAGAGAACGCAAGTTAAGCACCACAGAAAGATTTAACCAATGCAAAAATGAAACTTGGGAAAATGTACCACATTGAAAATCAATGGATTGATCCCATCTCCAGAAATAAGAAAACGACCTTCCACAATCAATTCTATTACAATTCGCTATACACAAAATGAGAGAAAAACATTCTGCTTAAACATTGTGCAATTTCTACTTCATTATTCAAATATTCCATGCAAAGGCCTAATTTCCCTAGCAGATAAGGAGCTCTAGATACAAACCAATAAGAAAAAAGAACAACGTGGTCAAAGGGAATGACCTCCCTACCCACAAAGTACAGAGGCCCCTAAGCATATAAAAAGAGGTGCAATCTTACTCACGTGAAAGGTGCAAAGTATAATTACGCTCACGTCATTTCCACCTATTAGATTGGCAAAGATCAAAACATTTGATAATATACTGTGTTGGCAACTCTTATTTCTTGTGGGGGGAGGACCTAAATTGGTATAACCTCTTTGGCAGTCATCCTGGCAATATTTACCAAAATTGCAAATACACATACTTTTGAAATGCTTTGAAAATCCACTTCTTTGTGTTACAGATATCCTTGCATGCATGAACATTGCTTTTGTAAAGGTAACGAGTTGCTCTTTGCTTGCAAAAGCCTGGAAAGAAAATGTCCACGAAGCACATCTATACAATGAGACACTAGGCAGCTGTAAAAGGAAAACGAGAATAAAGGAATCCCTTTAAATCACTGCTGTAGGTGGGGGGAAAATATGTTCCTCCTACCCCTCTAGGTTCTCAGCTGGGACCCTGTAATAAAAGCCAGATGAACAAGAGAAAAGCATACACACTTATTTAAATTTCACCTGACATGGGAGCCTTCATAAGGAAATTAGGACCTGAAGAAATGGTTAGCCTGAGGGCTTCTAGCCTCGATTTGGCGGAGAATGCCGAGTTACAGACAAATGTGGCAGGGCGGCCAGGCGCGGCGGCGCACACCTGTAATCCCAGGGCTTTGGGAGGCCGAGGCCGGCGGGTCACGAGGTTAGGAGATTGAGAACATCCTGGCCAACATGGTCGAAACTCCGTCTCTACTAAAATACAAAAAAAAAAAAAAAAAAAAAAAAAAAAAAAAAAAAAAAAAAAAAAAATAGCCGGGTGTGGTGGCACGCACCTGTAATCCCAGCTACTTGGGAAGCTGAGGCAGGGGAATCGCTTGAACCTGGGAGACAGAGGCTGCAGTGAGCCGAGATCACGTCCCTGCCCTCCAGCCTGGGTGACAAAGCGAGACTCCGTTTCAAACAAACAAACAAAAAGTGTGGTAGGGCAAAAAAGGCATGAAGAGTAGTAAACTGGGGGAAAGTTGGCAAGCTCTGTGCATTCAGATTTTTTCTGGGGTCCCCCTGTCTCCAGAGATAAGGATGCTCTTTTCCTCCAGGAACAGGGAGGGTACCTCTCACATGAGGATCACCTGACTTGCCTCAGGGGAATGTCAGGGAGTCCTTTCTCTACTTACATTTCTCAAATTCCTTCAGGGTAAAATACTCAGTAGAGCAAGGTGTGTATTTTGGGGTAGTGTCCTGAGTGTTCTTCCTACTCTGGAATGATTTCTAAGAGATCACGAATGAAAAAAGCAGTGTTACGTGCATGTTTTTGCTCATAGACGCATAAGATCCTGTGAGCATACAAGTGATGCTGGTGACACTGATTGCCACCACCAAGACCTGGGAAGAGGCATGCATCCTTCTGCACCTTCTGAATTTTGTACAGTGTCGATGCATAACCCTTTGCAGTAAGCTGATCACAATTTGGTAACATTTTTGAATTATGAATGCTGTTGCTAACTTACCTTGGATTCATTTATTCCTTCGGCCAGTGGTTATGTGGCTGGCACAGAAGCACAGGGGCAGACCCAGCATCATCCTGGAGGGGCTGCTCTTGTGCAAAGTCTTCAGAGCTTCTGGTGCCCCAGAGTGGAGAATCTCCCACCATAAACCCTCCTCTGCCTGATATTCACTGATTTTCAGCAGCGGTGGGCTATGATGCTATGAAAGTCTGTCTTTCCACCCACCGTGACCGTGTCCTCAAATCCCCACCTCCCACACTCGGGGGACTAAGAAACCGAAGGGTTGCCAGTGTAAAGAGGCATCGCCATGTAGCATTGTAGAAGGACGTGGGCACTGGGAGCCACCAAGGGGCCCAATACGATGGAGCACGGGCAGATTTGCGCTTTGGGAACAAGATTTGTCGGCCAGGCAGGCACCTGCTGCGATTATTCCAGTAATGTCGAAGGTGAGTGGAAAGCAAACCCATGTAGAACCAGCCGCAGCAGCTGTCATCCCCATTCCCTGGACAGAACTGATGGGTGGTTACTGGCTCTCTCCTGCGGAATAAATCAAGCCAGCGCCACAACACCTGGCTGATATGCACTTGTGTAGAAACAGCTGCACAGTTCTTCACAGAGACTCGCTTGCATGCCAGCTCTGCTGTTTTGGCCAAAGGTGCACGGTTCTGTCCCACTTTGCCGTTCTGGCAGAAGCCTCTTGTCCTGGTGCTGTCAGCCTCGCCTCTGGTTCCAGCCCAGGGGAGGGCGAGCAGCTCCAAGTCAGCTCACGCAAGCATGGCTTGTCTGTTGCATCCCACGTGTGGTAGGCTGAAAAATGGCTCCCCAAAGCCATTTTTGTCCACATCACAGTCCGTGGAGCCTGTAAATGTAAATGTGGCCTTATTTGGGGAAAAGGTCTTTGCAGATGTGACTAAGGATCTTTGGATGAGGAGAACATCCCATCTTGTTGCTGGATGGGCCTGGATGTCATCACAAGAGTGTTGTGTTTTTTTTTTTGTTTGTTTGCTTGTTTTTTTACGGAGTCTCACTCTGTTGCCCAGGCTGGAGTGCAGTGGTATGATATCAGCTAACTGCAACATCCATCTTCCAGATTCAAGTCAAGTGATTCTCCTGCCTCAACCTCCCAAGTAGCTGGGACTATAGGCATGCGCTACCACTCCCGGCTAATTTTTGTATTTTTTTTTTTAGTAGAGATGGGATTTCACCATGTTGACCAGATGGTCTCTATCTCCTGACCTCGTGATCCGCCCAACTCAGCCTCCCAAAGTGTTGGGATTACAGGCATGAGCCACCACCCCCAGCTACAAGGGTTCTTTTAAGAGAGAGGCAGAGGAAGATGTGAGGACACACAGAGGAGAAGGTGATGTGAAGATGAGGCAGAGGTCAGAGTGACAAGCCCACGTGGCCACAAGTTTAGCTGGAGGAGGTCAGGAAGGAGCCTCCCTCGCCCTTGGAAGGGAGCAACACGTATCTACAATAACATGGAGTGCAGGTATCTTCCCAAGACTGATTTTGTTGTCTGGGATTCTGTTGTCCTCTCACCTAGTAGTGAGATAGCCGGACCCTACCCATTCTATTTTTCACTTTTTGGGACCCTTCATACTGCTTTCTGTTATGGCTGTGCTAATTTACATTCCCACCAACAGTGGGAACAGTCTCCCTTCTCCACATCCTCACCAACACGTCTTTCATCTTTTTGGTAGTAGACATCCCAGCGGGTGTGAGGTGGTGTCTCCCTGTGGTTTTAATTTGCATTGCTCTGATGATTAGTGATGTTGAACATTTTTCGTAGACCTGTTGGCCATTTGTATGTCTTCTTTTGAGAAATGTTTATTCAGGTCCTTGGCCCATTTTTCAAATCAGAGTATTTGTTTCCTTGCTATTGAGTTGTTTGAGTTCTGTATGTATTTTGGATGTTAACCCCTTATCAGACACATGGGTTTACGGTTTTTTTCCTATTCCATAGTCTGTCTCTTCTCTCTGTTGATGGTGTTCCTCTGCAGAAGCCTTTCAATTGGATGTAATTTCATTTGTCTATTTCCACTTTTGTTTCCTGTGCTTTTGGGGTTATATCCAAGAAATCATTGCCCAGACTAACATCATGAAGATTTCCCCCTATATTTTCTTCTAGTACTTTTACAGTTTCCAGGTCTTAAGTTTGTCTTGAATCCATTTTGAGTTGATTTTTGTAGATGTTGTGAGATAAGAAGATATTTCATTCTTCTGCATCTGGATATTAAGGGAAGTTTTATAAATGGAAGATTAAAGGACTAGCTAACTAGAAATGTGATTATGATCACTGTCAACTGGATGAAGTGACACCTATAGCTTTATTCTACCCATATTCTAGACTAGGATTTATTACATTGAGGCCCATTAAAAATGCTTGGCAGAGTGGAGGGAAGAACATGGTGCCTCATCACATGTCCTTTGAGAATTAAATCTGGTGATGTTTTCATGTCTGTGATCATCTTAAAAAATGAGTGGGGCCGGGCGCGGTGGCTCAAGCCTGTAATCCCAGCACTTTGGGAGGTCGAGGCGGGTGGATCACGAGGTCAAGAGATCGAAACCATCCTGGTCAACATGGTGAAACCCCGTCTCTACTAAAAATACAAAAATTAGCTGGGCATGGTGGTGCGTGCCTGTAATCCCAGCTACTCAGGAGGCTGAGGCAGGAGAATTGTCTGAACCCAGGAGGCGGAGGTTGCGGTGAGCCGAGATCGCACCATTGCACTCCAGCCTGGGTAACAAGAGCGAAACCCCGTCTCAAAAAAAAAAAAATGAGTAGGGTTTTTTTGGACCAAGTGGACGGTGCGTTCTAGGGAAGCAGAGCTTGCAGGGTCAGGCTTGTGCTATGTCGATGGTGGGATGTGCCCGCCGATCTCCTGCCCTCACAGCTTTTACTTTTAATGCAGTGTCTCAAACTGAAGTCTCCTTAAAAAAAATTTTTTTTTAATTCACAAGAAAGTATTTTCTTTCAAAGGGGCCTGCATGGATCTTGCATTTAAGACAGGCCTTAACTGTGCCTGGTGGGACTCGTGCAGAGGATATGTGGCTTAGAGCGGGGGCTTGACCTAGGGTTAAGTCCTACACCCATTTCCTCTGTGCTGTGTGACTCTGGACAGGGAACTCAACCTCTCTGAGCTATGGCTTCCTGCTGTCTACGTGGCAATACTAACAATATTACCCAATAGTGTCGTCATAAATATTTCATGAGATCCGGTTCAGAAAGGGCTTCCTTAGCACAGCGCCCCCTATATAGCTGATGTTATATTATGCTCATGAATACCAGTCAGCCAGCGGAAAGTGTGGGGTAATCACAGCAGCAGGGTGGCTGACATCACAGCAAGGATGTCAGCGCCTGGGCCAGTCACCGCGTCATGCTCCCTTCACACCACAAGGGGGCGCAGGCACGCACTCAATTTATTTTATGCTCAAGAACCCGGAGCATCCGCTGGGGGGCGCAGGTTTCGCGTCCGCAGCAGGCGGTGCTCCTGGGCGTCTCTGGGTCCGCTTCCTGTTCTCACCGGGTTCTAAAGGCCAGACTCTCATCGGAAGCAACAATGATAAAAAATAGCTGTAATTTATTTCATATCTGCTGGGCTCTGAGTGAAGCTGTGGGGGGGGGGGACAGTGTGGGTGTGTCTGTGTGTGTGTCTGTGTGTCCATGTGTGTATCTATGTGTGTCTGTTTGTATCTGTGTGCATGCTTGTGTGTCTATGAGAGGATCTGTGTGTGTCTGTGAGTCTGCGCATTTGTGTTTGTGTGTCTGTGTATGTCTGTGCATGTGCCTGTGTATGTGTCTGTCTCTGCATGTGTCTGTGTGTGTATCTATGTGTGTCTCTGTGTGTCTGTGTGTGCATGTATGTGTATCTATGGGTGGATCTCTGTGTGTGTGTGTGTCTGTATGAGTCTGCATGAATGTGTGAATCTCCAGGTTTGTGTGTCATGGGTGTGTCTGTGTGTCTGCATGT